AACCCCGCCTCCTTCCAGAGGGATTTTGTGTAACTGGGCACAAGCCCGGAGCAAAGGAAGGGGAGAGAGATCAGATGGGGTGTGGAATGGGCAAAGGACAGCGAGCTGTTGTTTTCTTCTTTACAAAATGGGTACTTGCCAAGTCTCATGACCTCTTTTGAGATGATCAGAGTACTTGAAGAATATACTAAAGTGATGTCCCCACCAAGATGACCTGAAGAAATAGGATGGTTAGTAAACGTACCCACACAGTGGGCACGGTATTGGGAGCACCTTGCCCTGCAGAGAAGGCCCCCAGAGGCCCTGAGAAGGAGCCTTAGCCAGTGCCAGCCATCCACACCCACCCTCAGGGTGCTGAGCACACGCCCAGCCATCCACACCCACCCTCAGGGTGCTGAGCACACGCCCAGCCATCCACACCCACCCTCAGGGTGCTGAGCACACACCCAGCCATCCACACCCACCCTCAGGGTGCTGAGCACACGCCCAGCCATCCTCACCCACCCTCAGGATGCTGAGCACACGCCCAGCCATCCACACCCACCCTCAGGGTGCTGAGCACACGCCCAGCCATCCTCACCCACCCTCACGGTGCTGAGCACACGCCCAGCCATCCTCACCCACCCTCACGGTGCTGAGCACACGCCCAGCCATCCACACCCACCCTCAGGGTGCTGAGCACACACCCAGCCATCCACACCCACCCTCATGGTGCTGAGCACACGCCCAGCCATCCACACCCACCCTCAGGGTGCTGAGCACACGCCCAGCCATCCACACCCACCCTCAGGGTGCTGAGCACACGCCCAGCCATCCACACCCACCCTCAGGGTGCTGAGCACACGCCCAGCCATCCACACCCACCCTCAGGGTGCTGAGCACACGCCCTGCCATCCACACCCACCCTCAGGGTGCTGAGCACACGCCCAGCCATCCTCACCCACCCTCAGGGTGCTGAGCACACGCCCAGCCATCCTCACCCACCCTCAGGGTGCTGAGCACACGCCCAGCCATCCACACCCACCCTCAGGGTGCTGAGCACACGCCCAGTCATCCACACCCACCCTCAGGGTGCTGAGCACACGCCCAGTCATCCACACCCACCCTCAGGGTGCTGAGCACACACCCAGCCATCCACACCCACCCTCAGGGTGCTGAGCACACGCCCAGCCATCCACACCCACCCTCACGGTGCTGAGCACACGCCCAGCCATCCACACCCACCCTCATGGTGCTGAGCACACGCCCAGCCATCCACACCCACCCTCAGGGTGCTGAGGCACACATGTCCACATTGTCCCAGAGGACCGGTGTCATTGTGTTTGCTGAGGCAGCCATTGTCACAGTGATCCTGCATAGTTTGGGGTCTCTGCACACAGGAAACATATAAAATTTCCTTTATGCAACGCAAAGAGTAGCACACCTACCTTCTACCATGAGTTCAAACCTTTGGGTTGTAAAATTTGATGAACAAAATAGAACCAGAGGTGTGGATACGTGGACACACTGACAGCTGTCCGAGGGGAGGGGTTTGGGGGCTAGATGAAAGAAGGTGAAGGGATTAAGCAAATATATGTGTGTGTGTGTATATATATAATGTTTATAAATGTTATGTTTATATAGTGTTTATATATATAAACACAGATACACAAACACACACACGCACACGCACACACAAACACAGACAGGAGTGTGGTGATAGCCAGAAGGAAAAGGGGGTGGGGGTAGGTGGAGTGGGCCAACCGGGGGAACTGAAGGCAGAGAGAGACTTTGGGGTGATGGGCGCACAGTGCAGCATGAGCATGATGTTGTATTGAGCTGTACACTTGAAACCTGTATGGTTTTGCAAACTGATGTCAACCCAATAAAATCAACCAGTCAATAAAGAGACTAATAGGCACTTCCCTTGTACAAACACAAAGGCTGGAATTCCATGAAGAACACATTAGAATAGCATTTCATTTTTAGAAATACACCCATGTGGTCAGGAAGCGTATAGTCTAGAGGTCAGGAGCCCAGGAGGAAGGACAGAAAACAGTGACAGGAGAATATCCAAAACCACGTGATGCGGCCGCCCCCGGCGCTGCTTCCCTACGGATGGAAGGGTTTGGTGCTGTGGCTGGAGGAAAGACTACCAAGGGTATATAATTTGTTTATTTTTAGTTGCTTGATTTATGAGAGTTTTAAAATCAGCATTGTTAGGCACTTATCATTAGGGATCTATTTATAAGTATAGCACATTTACAAATCTTCTAGGAGTACTTTGAAAAAGGATTGTCCAATTAGTTTATCAAATGCACTCAAGCATTGTAAATGCCATTTGTGAATTTTATATTGTGTTTTTAAGTACTTTGTTTGTCTGGTTTAACTAAATCTTTCTGAGGATGAAATAATTCTTAAAATCTAATAAGTTAAATGTATCAACATGGTGACCTCGTGTTTTCTTGGAGTTTCCAGTTTCATGCACAAACAAGAGATTTGGACATAAGACGTCAAATCATCAAACTGAAACTATGTCTCAATCATTTTTTTTCCCTAAAGCCTCTTTTATGGAGAGACTCTGATATTAAATTTATTGGGGTGATATTGGTTAATAAAATTGTTTCAGGTGTATAATTTTGTAATACATCATCTGTATATTGCATTGTGTGCACACCATCTGAAGTCTAGTCTCCTTCCATCACTATATATTTGACCCCCTTACCCTCTTCACCCTTCCCCCAACCCCCTCTGTCTGGTAACCACCATACCATTGTCAGTGTCTATGAGTTTTTGTTTGTCTTGTGTTTTCATTTTATGCTTCTGTTTTATATCCCACATGTGAGTGAAATCATGGGGTTCTTGACTTTTTCCGTCTTACTTATTGAGCTTAGCGTGATATTCTCAGGGTCCATCCACGTTGTCACAAATGTCAGTACCTCGTCTCTTCCTTCGGCTGAGTCATATTCCGTTGTACGTATGCACCACATCTCCTTTATCCAATTATCTAATGAAGGCACCTTGCTTGTCTCCGTGCCTTGGCCACCGTGAGCAGTGCTGCAATGAACACAGGGGCGCATGTGTCTTTGGGAATAAATGTTTTCAGATTTGGGGGTGATACCCAGAGGAGGGGTTGCTGGGTCATATGATAACTCTATTCTTAATTTTTTTCAGGAAATTCCAGACTGTTGTTCATAGTGGCTGTACCAGTCTACATTTCCACCAGCAGTGAATGAGGGTTTCTTTTGTCCACAACCCCAACACTTGTTATTACTTGTCTTGTTAATATTAGCTGCTCTAACAGATGTGAGGTTGTATCTCATTGTAGTTTGGGTTTGCATTTTCCTAAGAGGTAGAGAAGTTGATCATTTTTTCATGAATCTGTTGGTCAATATATGTGTTCTTGGGAGAAGTATCTATCTGTTCAGGTCCTCTGCCCATTTTTTATTTGTATTTTTTGTTGTTGAGGTGTATACGTTCTTTCTATATTTTGGATAATAACCCTTTATTGGGGGTGTTGTTTTCAAGCATTTTCTCCCATTCAGTTGGCTGTCTTTTTGTTCTGTTGGTGGTCTCTTCTGCTGTGCAGAAGCTTTTTAGCTGGAAATAATGCCTTTCACTTATTTTTGTTTTTACCTCTCTTGCCTTTGAGGTGAACTCCATAAACTCCTAAGACCCATGTCCATAAGTTTAGTACCAGTGTTTTCTTCTAGGTCAGATCTTTAGGTCTTTGATTCATTTGCAGTTCATTGTGGTGCGTGGTGACCATCTAATTTCATTCTTTGAAGGTGGTTTTTCAATTTTCCCAGCACCAGTGATCGAAGGGGCTTCCTTTTCTCCCTTGTATGTTTTCGGCTCCTTTGTCGAAAGTCATTTGCCCATGTACATGTGAGTTTATTTCTGGGCTCTCAGTTCTACTCCATGGCCTGTGTGTCTGTCTCTGTGTCAATATCATGCTGTTTTGGTTATTATCGCTTTGCAGTCAGGGACTGTGATACTTCCCACCTTGTGTTTTTTTGTTTTGTTTTCTTTTGTTTTTAATACTCAGTAAGACGGTGTAGAAGGAAAATTCCTCCAAATAATAAAGGCTGTATGGCAAACCCTTGCTGATATTATTCTGTGGTGAAGAGCTGAGAACTTTTCCTCTAAGATCAGGAACAAGGCAATGATGTCCAGTCTCGCCCTTATTCAGCACCGTCTGGAGTCCTCGCCAGAGCAGTCAGGCAAGAGAAGGAAAGAAAAGGCATCCAAATTAGGCATGAAGAATTAAAAGTGTCACTACTTGCAGACGACATGATTCTTTATATAGAAAACCCTAACGACTCCACCAAAAAACTACTGGGAACAAGTACAGTGAAGTTTCAGAATGCAAAATCCACGTACAAAAACTCAGTGTGCACATTTCTGTATACTAACAATAAAATTTCAGAAAAAGAAATGCATGAAGCCATTTCTTTCACAATTTCAACAGAAAGAATAAACTTGACAAAGGATGTGACGGCACTGGACACTGAAAGCTACAGAACGTTGTTTAAAGAAACTGAAGAAGACACAGGAGAGGGCGAGAGTCTGTGTTCGTGGACTGGGAGAACTGACATGGTTAAAATGGCCAGAGTGCCACCAAGGTTGTGTGACTCAGGTCAGGACCTGGCCTGGCTTTTTACCCCAGGTGTGTGGGTCTGGGAACGCGCTGTTGACGCCTTCCAGGAAACATACACAGGCCAGTCTCGTCGAGGACAGCTAAAAGCCCTTAGCAACCCACATCTCGTTCCCTAATCTAGGGTGGCAAGCGCTTTTGCTCTGGCTTGGACAGAGCTCAGGGTGAAAAACTATTGCTGATCTCAGGCATTAAATTAGCTGGACTTAAAAAAAAGTCAGGGTGCTATAAGTTCTCTAAAGACCTAATTCTTCTTTTGTCCTTCTTCTGATGAAGCCTTAAAATCTAACTTACACATACACATGCTACCAGCAATGAAGCACAAATCTCTATATTTTAAAATGCTTTTTTTTTCTTTTCTCAGTTTCTACAGATAAAGTGATCTGAATTATGAATGATGCCACCAAACAGAAAAGCGAAGCTCCAACAACCCCCAGAAATGTGACAGGAGGTTCCTTCCTGGGGAGCAGCATCTTTGGTCTTATTTATATAAAACTCAAATAAATAAAATGGACAGTATTGTTCAATCTTAGAAGTTCCATTTCTTCTATGTTCTGAGCTGTATGATTGTCAGATTTTTATGGTTTAGACTGTAAATGTGTTTCCATTGCTAATTATGTTTGGGGTTTGTTTTTTTGTTTTGTTTTGGTCTTAAAAGTCTTAAAATGTGAAGGATATTATGAATGGAAAGGGAGACACTATATACAAATGTATATTTGTAAAAGCTATTTTTATGATTAGCATGTTTGACCATTGATCGTCTATCCAGTCGGGTGATACTGCAATTCTACGTTTAAAGCTTATTTCCGACAATGTTATGTAAGAAAAGATACATCATATGCTAGTTTTTTGTAATTTATTTTTAATTTATGGTTGAAGTACTTCAGCTCACAAGGATAAAACACTGGAAAAGGCTGCCTGTCTGCCTCTCTGAGCACTCTGTGTTAATAAAGAACGCAGCACTTCAGGTGTGATGCGCGCATGGGAAGGACTGCGGGTTTGACCTGTGATTAAACTCAGCCTCCTCGCCGCTGCTGGGCCGAAGGAACGACCCAGTGATCGCCCCGTACTCCGGGGGTGGGGCCCGGCAGGCTCAGAACAGTGCAGGTGGGAACCAGGAAAGGGTTGTCCTGTCTCTGGATCCAGATGTTGAAAGGGGTGCGGACATCGTGCATCTCCTGCGCCTGAGACCCCTTCCCCAGCACCGCCCCTGTTCCCAGAGTTCTCAGCTGTCGTCTTGTGCCGTGGAAATGGAAGACCCCAGCTTCCCAGGCTGTAGGAGAGTTCAGCATATAATTTCTTAATAAATTCTGTTTCTTTTCAAACCAAAGTGGTGTGTAGCTTTCCTCCGGGGTGCCCTTGGTTGCAATCTTGGGTTTGGGCTTTTAGGTCACTGTAATGCCATGAAATCAGTGCCATCACGAAAGCAGCATACTTTCACTGGCATGCCTGTCATGGGCCCCACATGCTCACACTCGTCACGTAGCAACATGTGGAACCCATGAAGCTGCCACGAGACAGAAGCCAGCGCGCGGCCTCGGTGCCAGGAGAAGCCATGCTCTGGTTGCATTTTCACACGGCATGCTTTCTATCCAAATGCAGAAATTTTAGGAAAATTATTCAGGATAGAGACCAAAACTACATGCACACGAGTGTTTATGTTCGAGTTGAGCCCTTCCACTCAACTTGCAAGTTCCTCATGAAACCGGAGAGAAGGCACGTGATGTCACAAGACGCTGTGGGACAGAGGTCTCCCTTCCACAAAGACACCGACTGGAAGATCACATTGCTGTTTTCATCTTCCACTTCAATTTCTTTAAGCTAATTTATCGTCTTTCTCTGGGTCTTTCCAGTATCAATAATTAAAATTATACCGTTTCATCCAACAAAGGTTATTACCAAAAACCGAAATGGTGAGAACACCAGTTAGCAATGTGCACAGTAGGACGGGGGCCCCGGGAGGCAGCCAGTGGAGCGTCTCCGCATCAGTGTTTCTCTCTCTCCCCCTTTTGTCCCTCCCACTCTCTCTGAAGAAAAATGGAAAAACATCCTCAGGTGAGGACAAAAGAACAAGATAAAATAAATACATAAAGTGTGTAGAATTGTTCTCTGTCACTGGAGTTCACGTTCTCCTATCGGCCTCACGTCGGACTCCGTGGGCCGTGCCCTGTATCCATGTCCATTCCTGGCTTCCGAATTTCTTCCGATGGCACAGGTGGAATGGGACCTGCGCCGGCCCCCACGCCTAGATGGTTTGGGTTATAATCCACGGAGATTTCATTCAATGAACAAAAAGGAAGCTTTTGAGAGAGGAGGAGGGAAGCGTGGGCCCCTGCTGACTCCAGCGGCGCTGGTCCCGCAGAAACGCTGAGGGAAGGCAGAGGACGCGCTCTCTGCACAGGGTTCGGGAGAGTGTGGGGACGCGGCCGCTGCTCAGGAAGGGAGGGGACTGGGCGCGCGTGACAAGGGGGAGGGGAAATACCAAGTGTGCTTCCATCACCTTCAGTAAAAGAATAGTTTGCAAAGCAGAAACAGACAATAAAGTCAGGTAGAAATGAAGCAGAAGATGAAGAGGAACCCATTTTGAACGGCTTCAAGTTAGAGAACAGGAATCCCCAGCACAGAGGCTGCGCAGGCTGGACAGGACACAGGATCGCGCGAAGCGGCCCGAACGCGGTGGCCGTGCAGCTGAGCGGCGGGCGCGGCTCGGGTCCCAGGGCTGCCGGCTCAGGCATGGGCCCGGTGGCCAGGCCTCCGACTCCCCAGGGCAGTAGACGCCCAGCGTTTCCGATGAGATGTCCGACTGGGTTTGTTTTCGTGTGAATCTGGAGGTGAGTGCAACTATGTCTGTGATTTACATCCGGATGTGATAGTGGCGAAACTTAAGAAGTCAACTTACAATAGTGAGGGACAACAGATTCAGGAGTACCTCTGTGGGGAAAGGGAGAGTGGAGTGGGGTATTCAGTGACACCTGGAATCTTTCCTGCAGTAGGAAAATGTTTGAATTAAATACTTCGAATCAAACAGCAAAAGTTAAGTTTTGATAAAATGAAGCATAGGTTACATTGGAAACTCCTAGCTCTTCAAACTATTTTCTGGTAGATAAACCGTGTTCCCAGGTGCGGCACCCAGCACACCTGCGTGAATGGTGACAGGGACGACCCACAGACTCCGACGTGTACTAGTCACACTGAATCCCCAGAACATTCTGCAGCAATTTGCCTGGAGTCATTAAAAACCGAACGGCAAGAAACACTTATAGAAAAATACCTAATGATGACCACTGGGTTCAATCAGAGTTGCACGTATATAATTATCGCAATGATATTTATAAAATTTTATGTAAAAATAGCAAACAGAAACTTTTTTAATTTTTTTATCCTCACCCGAGGATATTTTTCCATTTTTTGTACAGATAGAGTGGGAGGGAGAGAGAGTGAGAAACATGGACGTGAAGGGACACATCGAGTGGCTGCCACCCGCAGGGCCAACCAGGGCCGGGGACAAACTGCAACCGAAGTACATGCCCTTACCGGGAACTGAACCCGGGTCTCTCCGGACCGCAGGCTGACGCTCTAACCGCTGAGCCAAACTGGCCAGGGCGAAACTTTTTTAATTTTTTTATTCAATTATTTTTGTTACAGATGTTTCTCCTTTTTCTCCCATTGACACCATCTTCCCGACCTTCTCCACACCCTGTCCCGTCCCCAGCATTGTTGTCTGTGTCCATGGTTGCACATACATGCATATAAGTTCTGTGGTTTCTCTTCCCTCCCCCCTCCACCCCCTTCTTCTAGGTTTGTCAGTCTGTACCCTACTTCTATGTCTCTGGGTCTATTTTGTTCATCAGCTTGTTTCGTTGAGTATATTCCACAAATAAGTGAGATCATGTAGTACTTGTCTTTTTCTGATGGGCTTGTTTTGCACAAACAGAAACTTTTTAAAACCACAATTTATGTGTAAATATAATTGCTGGAAAACAACCTGTTTTTAATCTCAGATTGCGTTAATACAACTGATTCGAACAGGACACGAGAAGGAAATCGGGTAAACCTCATCCTCTGCGGACCACAGAAGGGCCGCATGCCAAGCCCGACAAGCCCAGGGGAAGCCTGCCCGTTGGGCCCTGCAAACTCAAAGACAGAAAGTGACCACAGGGTGGTCTGAAGTTAAAACCTCCTCACTGAAAGCAGGTCATGGTGGGTGGTCATGTCCTAGGCCTGCAGCTTCCCTGACGAAGGTCAGTCTTGACCTTTACTGAGTCTGTCTACTGTCTTTTTGCATCTACGATAACCTGCCTTTGGAATGTCAGAGTAATCCCCTTTTCCCAGACCCCTCGGGGCAGTCTGCCCGCGGAACATGACCACAGAGCCCTCCTTGTAATGCTGGGCCCTGCTCACCATCTCTGTGCTGCAAATGTCAACTGTCCTCTGAAGGAAGTGTGTGTCTGCGTTGTCCTCTCCTTTCCCTCACAGAGGTCCCCGCTCTGCTTTCTCCGGCTCCTTCATAGATCACCAGAGCATTTCATGTGACCCCTTCCGCCTCCTCCTTTGATTCCAATGTGACAAGTGAGGTGTGGAACCGCCTTCTCTGGGAAACGTTCTCAGTCTGCTAAGGGTGTGCTTCCCAGCGACTGTCCTCAGTTTGGCTCAGATAAACTCGTAGGAATTCTCTGCAGGTTTGGCTGTTTCCTACGTCAACACTGCACAGTTCGCTCACCTACAAACAGTGGCCGAGCACCCATTAGGATCAGGCACTCCTCTTGGTCCTGAGGATGCATCAGTGAACACAAGGGACGGAACCTCCACTGTGGCGAAGTTTAAAATCTTAGTATTTGTCTATATAACCCTGGAGAAACGTTGTTAGTATGAGTCTTTAGCAGTGGTGATGTAATCCTCAGTCAAACAGAAACGGAAGAATTGACAATTCTACTTTCTCCCCTTTGGGAAAAAAAACCTGTGATCATCAGCCCCATGGTGTTACAACCCTTCCAGGTCCGGACCCAAACCGGGGTCCTCCTGCCCAGTGTCATTGGCACCAACAGAATGAGACTAAGTTGGGTAAAGCAGAGCAGACACTTTATTCCTTGATCAAGGAATGGGGGAAGGTGAGCTCATGCTCTCTGGCACCTTCTCCCGGACTGGGCGGAGCCTCCGTCTTCATAGTTCGTGGTCATGGTGATTCGGTTCTTTCAGGTGCTTAGTCATCCTTGTGTTGCACTCAGCCCTTCTGCTCGCACTCCTCTTTGCACACGATGCCCCATGCCCATCTTTGACTTTGCACCCAGCACCTTGGTCTTTGCACCCAGCACCTTGGTTTTTGCACCCAGCACCTTGGTTTTTGCATTCAGCACTTGGTCTTTACACCCGGCACCTTTGGTCTTTGCACCCAGCACCTTGGTCTTTGCACCCGGCACTTTGGTCTTTGTACCCAGCACCTTGATCTTTGCACCCAGCACCTTGGTTTTTGCATTCAGCACTTGGTCTTTGCACCCAGCACCTTGGTCTTTGCACCCAACACCTTAGTGTTTGCATGCGGCCTGCTTTATTTGGGGTTGGTAACCCTTTCCGGTTCCTGTTTACAAGCATGGCTCGTGACATGGTTTAAATACTGAGAAACCTCAGGGTCTTTTAGATGATCGCCCGGTGACAAGGGCATGAGGCTAAATGAGAAAGGTGCGTGGACATCCATTGCATTTACTTCTGCCCTGAGTAGCTACCCCTTTCTGAGGCATTTGCACCCTTAGCCAGAGTGGGGTTTCCTACTACAGCAACATGTCCGTATCCTCTGTGCTGGCTGATGCATAACGCAGCTGCCGCCTGTGACAACTGGCTGACCCACGTGAGCTCGCACATGAAAGTGGCACAGATTCCGTGTTACAGCTACAGGGCAGCCAGCGTGAAAGTGGCACAGATTCCGTGTCACAGCTACGGGGCAGCCAGCGTGAAAGTGGCACAGATTCCGTGTCACAGCTACGGGGCAGCCAGCGTGGAAGTGGCACAGATTCCGTGTCACAGCTACGGGGCAGCCAGCGTGGAAGTGGCACAGATTCCGTGTCACAGCTACGGGGCAGCCAGCGTGAAAGTGGCACAGATTCCGTGTCACAGCTACGGGGCAGCCAGCGTGAAAGTGGCACAGATTCCGTGTCACAGCTACGGGGCAGCCAGCGTGGAAGTGGCACAGATTCCGTGTCACAGCTACGGGGCAGCCAGCGTGGAAGTGGCACAGATTCCGTGTCACAGCTACGGGGCAGCCAGCGTGGAAG